TAAAGTGTTTCACAATGGTATTTCCTTTAGTTCACATCCCATTCCCCAAAACACTTCATTCCCAAAATGTTGGGTAGGAGAAAATCCAAACATATGTAGTTTCTCACATGTTCTATCGCACCCGCCTGTCCATTACTGTATTCTCGGTATCGTCCAAGCATCTGGTCCACTTGTCGCAGGTTCCGACTGGTATCCTGAGAAAGAAAATTGACTGAATTAATTATTCCAAATACTTTTTTTCCTAATTGATCTTAGTAGTATGTCAATCAACTAAGTCAACAGTATGTAAAATGTATAAATTTTATCATGGCTAAGTTGAATATCAATGTACTTCATACATATTAAATAAATCTTAACACCACTGAGAGAAACTCAAATCCGACTGCAATTTACTCGTGTAATATCTGCAGCACATAATGTAAATCGTTATTCAAGGTTCCCTAGTAAGTTGGCAACAAACCATTAATTCTTAGAATCACAATTTTCAATTTGTGCCCCTCAACCAATTCACACACTTTATAGAAAAGGAATCCTGAAACAGCAAATCTAGTAGACTGTGTGCGAGAGAAGAAAATCATTAAGATCAATGTTATTTCAACTATTCTTTTACCTCAGAACTTGATGAGAAGAAAAATAACAAATTTAATTTTCATCACAATAGAAATGGTTCTCATCTAAATATGCTAGATTTTACCTGGGAGATTAATCAAGATATTTCTTTCAAAAATATATACCTATTAATGTGTCTCATTGTTGGGAAAGTACAAGAATTCATACTGCAAAATTGTATTGTTATCTTACTTTACTTACATTTTACTTACTTTACTTACTTACTTACTTATTGATCAGAAAGGGTCTTGCTCAGCCACCCAGGCTGTAGTGAAGTGGCATGATCATGGCTCACTGCAGCCTCAGCTTCCTGGACTCAAGGAATTCTACTGCCTCAACTTCCTGATTAGCTGGGACTACAGGTACACAGCACTAGGCCCAGCTAAACTTTTTTTTCTTAATTTGTGTATAGACAGAGTCTAAGTATGTTGCCAAAGCTGGTCTCAAACTCCTGACTCAAGCAATCTTCCTACCTCAGCCTTCAAAAATGCTAGGATTACAGGCATGAGCCACCATGCCCAGCCCAGCCCATGATGTTATTTTAAATAAGTTTAAAAAGGATAGGTCCTCTGGTTTTCAAATCAAAGCATTCACCACCAAAAATTATCTTCTTCTTATCTAAGCATACTAACAAAAGCAATTAAAAGCCAAAATCCATGCTTAGCCAGACTAAGGCAAAGGTAAGGGATTAATGAGTAGGAAATACATTCTGAGTTTTCTTTTCTCCCATATAGCTATGTTACCCTTCCCCCACCTCTTTTCTAAAGCCCTTTCTAGGAAAAAGAAGCAAAATGCCTTAACTCAAACCTCCAAATACTGGCAAAAATTAGCCTCTACATCAAAATGGAATTTCTTTATTTTCAGCCACAAATAATCTACCTCACCAAAATGAGCAATTTCTCTAAAGGCACATGCCCATGAGAAGCTAAACTATCATCATTTCTACTGGTTTCACTCTCACAATATTTTATTTAGAAATACTGCTTTATCCTAAAACACTCTCCATCACCTATCACATATTTCAAATATCTTTACCAACTGTCATAGGCAGAATAAAGGCCCTCAAAGATATCCAAGTCCTAATCCCTGCAACCTGTGTATGTATACCTTACATGGCAAAAGGGATTTTGCAAATGTGATTACACTGAAGACTTTTAGATGGAGAGGTTCTCCTGGATTATCGGGTGGACCCAACGAAATCACAAACATCCGTAAAAAAGGAAAAGGGAGGCAGGAGAAGCAAAGTCATAGGATGTGAGAAGCGCTTGACCCTTCCAACCCTTCCCTGCTGGCTTTGAAGATGAGGGAAGGCAGCCACAAGACAAGAAACGTGAGCAGCCTCTAGAAACCAGAGAACGCAAAGCAATAGATTTTTCCCTTAGAGCCTCCAGAGAGGAACACATCCCGACCAACACTCCGAGACCCAATGAGACCAGTGTTGACTTCTGACATACAAAACTTTAAGATAATAATTTGTGTTGTTTTAAGACATTAGCTTTGCAGTAATTTGTTACAGCAGCAAGAAAACTAATCCACTGACTGAAACTATAAAGCAGCTCAAACTATTTAAATACTATTAAATGCAACCATTGTTAAACTAACCTGTAAAGTACTTGTTATAGTGTTGACCTTCTCGGTAACTTCTACTGTAGGAAGACTTCGAGTTCCCCTGTAAGTTGATCTGGCAGCCCATGGACTCAATCGGTCACGATAGCGAAAGTGATCTGATTCGCTGGATGATTCTGCCATTGATGTACACAAATCCTTTTAAATAAATATAGGTCAAGGTTAATGAAACAGGAAAAAGCATAGAAATAAAAGACTAATATAACTGTTTACTTTTGATCTCTTGTCTATGTTCAACCCATTAGTTATTTTGTACACTGTAATTTCTACACACATAGCTTAAAAACACAAGAAGTCACTTCCCCATGTAATTCTCCCTCCTTCGTTTTCTCTGCTTTAAGGGAGCAATTCCTCAGATATGATTTTGGTCATGTTTACAAGTCCAGTGATAATAATCCCCTGGATTCATGCAATGCTTCCAAATTATTAGTACCTCACTTAATCCTACCAACAACACCATAAGGTAGATGAGAAAAACACAGATAGTCTCTAAAGTTAGGACCGGCAGGTATCTTAATATTTGCCTAATGTCCATTCTACTATAAGAACATAGCAAGACCTACCACAAGACGGTCTCATTCAGTATACACTGACAAATCTCATGCACCTTGATTTAAAATACGGTAGAATTAAACAAATGCTGTAATACAGGTCCAAATTCTACAATAACAGATACGTGAGAAGGTGGCATCTGCAACATCTCCACCAAAAAAGAAAGCCGGACATCCTGAGTATAGGCATCAGTAGATAATTCTCTAAACATGCTTTTCTTCCATCCTTACCTCAGTTTTCTATTTAATGCATTAAAAAAAATTATTTCATGCAAGGGAACCTCAAAAGTTTCAGGAAACCTTTTAATAGAAGTTGAAGAAACTAAATAAGTTCAGAACAAAGAAGCATCAGAGAAACTCAACTGATAAAAAGTGAAAGTGTATTGAGTATCCCAATAATTTCATTTTCTACTTAATGGTGGGTTAATGTTACTTTAACATTAATTGCTAGAATCTTTCTAAAATCTACATGGCCATTGTGCTGGCTGATTAAATACAGTGTGATAAAACATTTCTCTTTTTTGTTTTGTTTTTTCAGATGGATCTTACTCTGTCACCCAAGCTGGAGTGCAGTGGCACGATCGTGGCTCACTGCAATCTCTGCCTCCCGGGTTCAAGCAATTCTCCTGCCTCAGTCTCCTGAGGAAACATTTCTTGAATAATAGAGTATCTTAGACTTCCAGGATCTTTATTCTGAATGCATCTGGAAGTACACTGATCATACATTTAAGGAGAAAATAAAGAGAATTTGCTAAACGTGTACATGTCCTAAAGCATTTAATGAAAGCAATTGTGTTTTTAAAATATTAGATGAAATATAACTAAACAAATAAACAAGCAAGAAACCTTGCCATAAGCTTAGGTTTTTTAAAATGAAATACAGTCTGTTACTGCTGTATCAAAAAAAAAGAATCAGCGAAATATCCAGCTTCTTCACACTAGCTAAGACAGGGTTAGAGAACATCCTGTCGGAACACCCATGCTTCTCCTCTGCCCAGAGCTCTTAACTTCCTTCTGCATTTGTCTTCTCTGGTTCTTGCCTGTCTTCTCTTACATGTAAGTACAAAGGTATAGTACCCATGATGTCAGTCCCTCCCACCATAAGGAAACATGAACAAGAAATTAAGACTGAAGCAACTGTTTGGCTTTGCTTTTTCTGGCTCACAATGCTTAAGTCCAAAGGAAAAAAGTATTTTCTTTAGAAGAAAAGACATCTTACATATAATGTTCACCTTTTAAACTTAGGAAATGACTTGTATGCATCTCATAAATCTATGCCACATAACCTAACATCTTTTACTCTAAGTTACAGTACTTCCCATCAAGCGTTTTCCATTAGTGAAGGCAGGAAAAGATCAACATTTTGTAAGAACTTGCTATTCTGCCAGTTACTGTGCAGATGCTTACATAAGGCAAACCAATTTAATTCTCATAACAACTTATTAAAGTGAATACTATTAACTCCCAATTTATAGAGGATATGCTACTGCTAAAAGATATAAAATAACATGCAACTACCTACAGTAATTATAAGTAGAATGCAAAACCAAGATTCAGCTGGCTTTCTCTGTCCTCAATACTATGTTCTTCCCACTGTGCTCTGCTGTCCGTTTATCCGAAGAGTTATCAATCTTAACAATTAACAAAAAGTGCTAAAGACTGCAGGTGCAGGCCAGAGCCTACATGTGTCTATAGTCTCCTCAACTCCCTTTCATTTCATGTTAGCATAAAAATATCAAGAAAAAAAGGGAACTATCAAGTAATAATATAAAAATCTTAACTAGGCACCAGGAAAAAAACTAAGAGACATATCTATACTAATACGTTTAATAAAGCCCTGAAACAAATCAATCCATGGGTCCCAGATAAAGGGATTTTTGTTTCCTTATTCCTGTTAGCCCTTATATAAGAGAAAATAATAATTATGTCTGGCATCTGTCTCTTTCATATCAAAATTCTATAGCTTAAAGCATAACAATTTTCATTTTAACAAGTCATAATTGTGGAAACTAGATTGAAGTTAATAAATCACTGAAGATAAGAAATCAGGCAGAAT